ATCATGAAGATTACTATTAGTATCATCATTATTGTTATTGCTTCTCTCATAATCATATTGACAATAAAATGATAATGATAACAATAATAATGATAATGATAATGTTAATAATAATAATGATAATTATAATGATCATTATAATGATAATGATAATTATAATGATAATGATAATGATAATAGTGATAATGATAATATTAGCAATGATAATAATATGAAGAAAAATGATAATAGTAACAATAATAACAATAAAAAGAAAAAGATGAAGGAGAAGAAGAATAACAGTAATGATAATAGTAACAGTAATAAGATTGCTTTTTCTTTTTTAATCAATCAACGACTTCAAAAGCTGAAATAATTTCATGACAAAGACGACTAAAAAGGCTAGAATCGCATTATAAACCATTGAAACTTTACCCTAATGAACTGGGTTGAAAAAATATCTTTTTGCTCACATCAAATTCAGACCTATTCCTGGAAAGTTATAATAGACTGACATACGAACGTGGCTCTGCTGCTGCTGCTGCACGATGCAATATTGCTGAAAAAAAGAGAAAAAAACGGTAATTAGACTCAATTACCGTTTGTATAGCTTTGGAAAATACCATAGAACGATATTGCTTCATCAGAATACAATAGCGACTGATGAGGTCTATACACAAAGAGACGATGCATCACAACACATCAAAAGTCGATGGCCGATAGTGGTAGAATGTTGATAATAAGAGTAATATTGGTAGTAATGATACCATACACATTAATAAAAACATCAATAATAACAGTGGTAATGATGAAAATAATGATGATGATAATGAAAACAGTGATAATAATACCTATGATAATGAAAATAATATTAATAATGATAACAATGACAATAGTAATAACTATAGCAAAAATAATGATGATTATGATAATGCCAGTAAACGCAATAATGATAATGATATCATAGATACAAAGAACAATAATAATAATGATGATTATTAAAGTAATAATGATGATAATAATAATAATGATAATAATAATAATGATAATGATAATAATAATAATAATGATAATAATAATAATAATGGTAATAATAATAAACATAATTGTCATCATGAGGATGATGATATAAATAACAATAATAAGAAAACAAAAAAAAATTATAGTAATGTTAATAATTGAGACAATAATAACACAACTGATAATGGTGATGGTAATGATGATGATATTGATGATAATGATAATAAAACATAATAAGAATAATGATCATGATAATACTAATAATAATAATAATGACGATACTAATAATGGTTATTATAATAATAATTATTATTATTATTATCATTATCATTATTATTATTATTATTATTATTATTATTACAATAATAACAACAACAACAATAATTATTATAATTATGATCATAATAATAACAGTAATACTGATCATTTTGATAGCAATAAGGAAAATGATAATAATATCAGTAACAATAATAGTGATAATGATGATAACAATGATAATTATAATGATAAAGAGAATAGAATATGAATAATGATAATGATATTAATAGTTCTGTTAATGATAATGATGATGGTAACAATGATAATGATAATAATGACAAAATGAAAATGATAATAATGGCAATAATAAGGATGATACTAATAATGAATAGTAGTAGTAGTATTAAAATCTCAATGAGAATAATGATGAATAGCTTTATCCTCATTATAAAGATATGAAAATAATGATAATAACAACAATATTAATTGCAATACTGCTGTTGCTACTGCTACTACTACTGAAAATAATAAGTATTCTAATGATGATAATTATGATGATAATGAAGATAATGATAATAATGAGGAGAAGGAGGAGTAGGAGGAGGAAAATAATGATGACGATGATAGTAATAATGATAATGACAATAATATATATGTAAATATATACAACTAATGCTCTTGGTAAAAAAAAAAAAAAAAAAAAATGCGACTTTAGGACAAAGACCCCTTTCGTCAAAGACTCTTCCAACACATTATAACAAAGCTCTAATGAGATGTGTGAGTCAGGAGTTTCACGCGGAGTAACTGGAGAAGGAAAGGGAGGCGATGCACCAACACGAGGCGCGTTTGGAAGGGAAAAGGCAGGACAAAGGATGCTTCTCCTGTGGAAGGAGTGAAGAATAATATATATATATATATATAATATATATATATATATATATATATATATATATATATATATATATATATATATATATATATATATATATATATATATATATATATATATATATATATATATATATATATATATATATATATGTATGTATGTATATGAATATATATTTGAATATGTGTGTGTGTGCATATGAGTATATATGTATATGGTATCCATATATATATATATATATATATATATATATATATATATATATATATATATATATATACGTGTGTGTGTGTGTGTGGTGTGTGTGTGTGTGTGTGTGTGTGTGTGTGTGTGTGTGTGTGTGTGTGTGTGTGTGTGTGTGTGTTTTCATACATACATATACATTATATAATAAATATATATATATATATATATTATATATATATAATATATATATATATATATATGTTGTGTGTGTGTGTGTGTGTGTGTGTGTGTGTGTGTGTATTTGTGTATATGTATGTACATGTGTGTGTGTGTGTGTGTGTCTGTATGTGCATATATTCATATATATCTATATGCATATGTGTCTTACTCTATCTCTCTATATATCTGTCTATCTGTTTTCTTATCTATGTCTATCCATTTGTCTGTCCTTCTCTCTCACTCTCTCTCTAAATATATAAATATCTATCTGGCTTCTTGTCTATGTCTGCCTGTCTGTCTGTCTCTCTCTCTAACTCTCTCTCTCTCTCTCTCTCTCTCTCTCTCTCTCTCTCTCTCTCTCTCTCTCTCTCTCTCTCTCTCTCTCTCTCTCTCTCTCTCTCTCTCTCTCTCTCTCTCTCTCTCTCTCTCTCTCTCTCTCTCTCTCTCTCTCTCTCTCTCTCTCTCTCTCTCTCTCTCTCTCTCTCTCTCTCTCTCTCTCTCTCTCTCTCTCTCTCGCTGTCTGTCTCTATGTCTATCCATTTGTCTGTCTTTCTCTCTCACTCTCTCTAAATATATATATTATATATATATTATATATATATATATATATATATATATATATATATATATATGTCTCTCTCTCTCTCTCTCTCTCTCTCTCTCTCTCTCTCTCTCTCTCTCTCTCTCTCTCTCTCTCTCTCTCTCTCTCTCTCTCTCTCAATCTCAATCTCAATCTCAATCTCAATCTCAATCTCAATCTCAATCTCAATCTCAATCTCTCTTTCTCTCTATCTATCTATCTATCTCTCAGTCTCTTTCTCTCCATCTATCTATCTATCTCTCAGTCTCTCTCTTTCTCTCTATCTATCTATCTATCTCTCAGTCTCTCTCTTTCTCTCTATCTATCTATCTATCTCTCAGTCTCTCTCTTTCTCTCTATCTATCCATCTATCTCTCAGTCTCTCTCTTTATCTCAAGCTATCTATCTATCTCTCAGTCTCTCTCTTTCTCTCTATCTATCTATCTCTCAGTCTCTCTCTTTCTCTCTATCTATCTATCTCTCAGTCTCTCTCTTTCTCTCTCTCTATCTATCTATCTCTCAGTCTCTCTCTTTCTCTCTCTCTATCTATCTCGCAAGCAACACCCAACAATCAATCCTCCAAATCTTTCCGCTCCAGCAGCCTGATTTGTACGCATGTCTCTCTCGTAGCAGTCGGTGAAGGTGTAAATGAAGGTTTGTTGCGACATGACCCGCTGGAGTCGTCCTCGAGAACCAGTATAAAAGCCTTGTCGATGACGGGGGGAAGGCAGTTGTGGCCGGACGGTTGACTTTTCCTTCTCTCCCTCGCTCTATCTCCGTTCCCCAGGCGGTCTTGCAGGAGAGTCAGGCAACATGCGGGGCTTTGGATGGGTATGGGTCTTTGGGGGTTTTGTTTTCTATTTATTTTTATTTTGTTTGTTTGTATGTTTGTTTGTTTTTCAGGTGTTTTGAACAGTGTTTCTGGGCTTTAAAGTGTGAATAGTTATAGGTGCTTACTTCATTTTTCTTCTCCTTCTTTTTCTTCTTCTTCTTTTTTGATCAGCATATTTTCGACGTACCTGGTTGAACTGGAATATGTACCTTGTTTCATTTGAAATGGCTCCTATTTTCTGGCGAATTTGGTATATTTTTATGTTCCTATATAATATTTTCAGTATCTTTACGGTTTAAAAACCTGCTCTGATTATGCCTTGTTCCACATTCCATTTTCCTGGCTTGATGTAATCGGTTACCTCTTCTATCTCTTTATCATTCCATTTCACTCCCCTGAATTCCTTGCCTTGAGACAGGGCCACTTCGCCCTCAGACAGCCTACGCCCTTCTCGGCTGTCGCTGAGTCGCTGTCACTTTCACTCTTTCCTCCTGACGCCTGGTTCCGGCAAGCACTGCTTCCGCCGCGACTTCGTTCCGTGCAAATCGATTCCGCTGTCAAAGGGATTTCGCCGTTCCTGCGGCGGCCAGACGTCGGACTTCCTTCCTTTCCTGCGGCCGTTCTTGTCTGGCAGTTTTTTAAGATCACACTCGCGATGTATAGTCTACCCGTTTATCTATCTCAATATATCTATATATGTGCGTGTGTGCGCGCGCGCTCGCTCGCGCGTGTGTGTATGTGTGTATATGCGTATGCATGGATGTATGTGTGTGTGTATATATATGTATATACATATACATACATGCATATATATGTATATAATCTTTTATTCATATATATATATAGAGAGAGAGCGATAGAAAGATAAATATGTAGGTGTTGTTTTTTCCTTATTTTCTTTATTCCACAGTGTTTCTATTTATTACATCTGACATTGCTAACTCATGCACATCTTTTCATTTTTCTTTTGCCTGTTATACATTTCGCAGCATTTCACCGAAACTGAGAACCTCTTACTGCCAAAGCCAATGACATGCAACCATTCCTTTTTCCCAAAAGGTAACAGCCGCCGTGCTGATGGCGGTGGCACTGTCGCCCTCCGTCAAGGGGGAGCGGGAGGAGGCCGTCCCTGCCCAGGACGACCTTCTGCCGCAGGAGAGCCAGCAGCTGGCCGTCGTGGCCAAGGACGACCTCCAAGCCTCTGCTACGGGTGAGTGCTGTCTGTGTGTCGCCGTTTTTCCTGTCATTCCATTCATGCATCGAATCTCATAACAACGTTGTTCCTATTCTACGTTGTATACTTATTGGAATCCATGGCATGAAGGTCAAAATCCTGCTGTTAGGAAGAGAAATCACCTGAGCTGTCAACAGCTGTTTCCTTCCCTGTCGTCCTGTAGGATACGGAGGCTACGGAGGCGGAAGCTCCCACAAGGGACACGGAGGCTACGGAGGCGGAAGCTCCCACAAGGACACTACGGAGGCTCTCACTACGACCAGGGAGGCTACAAGGGCCACCAGGGATACCACGCCGACAAGGGCCACAAGGGCAGCCACTACGGCGACCACGGCAAGGCGCACTACAGTGTGAGAACCGCGTCCTTCAGTTTATTATCATTATTTATGGAATAGGTAACACCATAATAGAATGTTTGCCCTTAAAGCAATGCTGTTTTTCCCCCCAGGCGTCATTTTTGAGAAAAAAATCTTTCCTCAAATTCAAAAGTTTTCCTTCCCTCACCAGGGTTACCATGGCGACCATGGCAAGCACTACAAGGGCCACGACGACAAGCACAAGTACTACGGCGACGCCCACAGCGGCAAGAAGGGAGGGAAGGGTCACCAATACGGCTCCAAGGGTCACCACAACAAAGGTCACAAGGACAAGGTCAGTGCTCTTCGCATTACATAAATTTAAATTGCATGTGATGTTTGCCTTTGCTTTTTGAGCTCCAGATTACCTGTCGCGTAGATTACCTACAATTTTCGGTGAATAGGAGCACTTTCCCCAAATGTGAATTACAGTCGTTTCGTCTGACATTAGTTCCCTTTCTGAAAGTTCGATGACATGCTGAAATGGTGTTCCATTATATGACTAAGTCAACGGTATCCACTTTGATTTTTGTGCAGTTTTCGTCGTGAGTGTTTTATAGAAAGAGATGGTGGGAATTTCCTCAAATCCTCGTGAATTATTATCAAGTACAAAAGGGCATTTATTCCTCCCGTTTACACTTATGCGGAATACTCTCGAAAGGAAGCCCCGGATTTCCCTCAAGGACTAGGATGGCGCCTTCCCCAGAGACTTTTACTTCGCAGGAACAGCCGTTGCCCCGAACGGATGCCCTTCTGGCCATCGGACCGTGGCAGGACTCGAACCCGCTCGCCTGAGATCCTCCCAGTCCCGATCTGTGGCTTTACGATCACCAGTTTATTTCATTAAAATGTAAATTGATTTCCTATGACGCGTCGCGAGCCTTGTTCCCTCACTTGGATCTTACGGAGGATTCTCAACTTTGATCGCGGGATAAAATCCTCTTAACTTAGACCTGTGGTAAAATCGGTATGTAAGCTTCTTATTTATATATGAAACTACGGCAAGAATTCCAACCTGCACTGCCTGAGTCAATGCGCTTTGTGCGTAAAATGCAGATCTTAGACAAAGCTTCGCGGTTTCAAGTGTGCAGAAATATTTTCAGCTTCCTAGCACTTCATTCCGCAGAACAGTGGAGCGACCTTCCGAGCCAGCGTGGATATCTATAGGCCAGAGAGGGATAGAAAACTCGTTAGTTAACAATTACAACCTTTTTTTTTTCCTTTCCCGCAAGGCTTTCGGATTATTTAGATTATGATTTCTTATGACGGAAAAGCTAACACATCTCGTGAGACTTGGAGAAAGTTTGGATTATTACCACTAACAAAGATTTCTTCGTCTCAGGGCTTCAAGAACGTGTACCACAAGGAGGAGTACGGCCACACCAAGAAGTTCTACGACGACAGCGATAACAAGAAGTACCACAACAACTACGACGATCTCGATACATACTTCAAGGCACACAAGGGCAGCGACTACAAGGGAGGCCACTACAAGGTACGAATAAGCCACCATGTTCCTCTCTCTCTCCTGACTAGGTTCTTTTCTATATCTATCATTTCATTTGCCACGGTTCATCTATATAAATATATTTTCTTTACTTTATTACTGGTTTTACTCAAGAACGAGTGGCGGTTGCAATCCCTTTCGAATTATTTTCGTGTTGAATAAAATCTGACTTATGTTCCTTCGCCATCGCTGGTTCAGGGCGGACACCATCACGATGCCCATGGCCACAAGGGGCACCACGAGAAGGGCAAATACCACGACGACCATGCGGGCCACGATGGCCACTACGGAGACAAGGGCCACTATGGCCACAAGAGTTCCTATGGCGACCACGGTGGACACAAAGCTCATTATGGTCACGATGATCATAAAGGGTATGGCCATGGTGGACACGGAGGCGGATATGGACACGGTGGCCATGGAGGTGGACATGGGGGCGG